TGATATCTAAGTATCACATGCTGATAACTGTATATTTAAGAACAGTTCCAAGCAGAAAACTAGATATCTATAAAGTATATATAGAGAGAAATGGATATAAATTCTACCTTGAAGATCTATTTTTGTAAGAAAATAGTATAAATTTCAATATTCTTTGCCCAGCCTAAGTACAAAAAACATGGTTCAGAAAATAGAAGGCCAGTTAAAAGAATTAATGTTTCTGTACATTTCATCTAAAATTTTGTAGCAACGGGTAAGATAATAAGTAAATAAAGTTTAACAACCATAAATCAAGAATGTACATCACAAAAATTAACTATATTACAGCACTGTTTTATGCTATACATTGGAGAACGTCTAATTTTAGTTGGTAATGTTGGAGCCTAAATATCTAAATTTATTTGACCGTTTTTATTAACATTAACTCTGTTTTCCTTGTATTTTTCCTTTAAATCTCCTCTCTCTCTAGATTATATTACCATTCTGCACCTCTCTTGCAGCCCCAAGTCATCTGCAAACAAGAGTTCCCAAAGCATTCCTCTTCTCACTCAAGACATCCATCACTATCACAAACAGGTAAGGGCTTAAACCTGGTCCTTGGTGTAGACCTACTTTTACTTCAGTATTCAGTTCTTCTTTTTCCTATTCTTATTGTTGTCGTTGCTCCATAATTCACTGTTTCACTCTCATCATCAACTTCTCTGCGACTCTCTTCTCCCTAAGACACCAATAATTGATATATAGTGACACCCTATCGTATGCTTTTTCCAAATCGACAAAGCACCAATACGGCTTCCTGTTCCTCTCTAAAATCTTTTCCTTTAGCTGTCTGGCTCTGAGTATAGCGTTCACTGCTCCTTTCCAAAGCAAAACAGCACACTCTATTTCATCAATCTCCTATTGGCCTATATTCTCTACCCTTTCAAACATTTTAAAACTATGAATTTCGGGTTTACTAAGAGTTGATAACTCTTTTATATTAAATCACTTCATAAATCAACAACCTTCTTACAGGTTCATTGATGTCGTGAAAGAAATCACAACTAATCGTTTTTAAATTAAAACATATTTGAAAACTCTAGCTTCTCTAATTGACGTTGGAATAATTTTTATAGAAGGGGGATGAAAAAACATTGAACAAAATCGAAAACCCAATATATGATTGGAACCCCGCATGTGCAATCCCACGTACGTCAACAAGAGGGTGCTACCGTACCCTCAGCAGTCCTAGTTCCCGCCCTCTTGGCTTCTATGGCCTAAAGTATCAAGTCTTTTTAGTTAAGAACAAGTGTAAGGGGATGTATTTGTTTGTTTGATTTAACACAAAGCTACACAATTGGCTATCTGTGCTCTGTCCATCATGGACCCGGCATGGCCAGGTGGTTAGGGCGCTCGACTCTCAATCTGAGGGTCGGGGGTTCGAATCCTCGTCCCACCAAACATGCTTACCTTTTCAGCCGTGGGGGCGCTATAATGTGACGGTCAATTCCACTATTCGTTGCTAAAAGAGTAGCCCAAGAGTTGGCGGTGGTTGGTGATGACTTCCCTCTAGTTTTACACTGCTAAATTAGGGACGGTTAGCGCAGATAGCCCTCGTATAGCTTTGTGCGAAATTCAAAACAAACAAACAAATATAAACGCATGCAATCTCAAAAGGATATTGCTTTTGTTTTGGACTTGTTTGTGGTTGGTTGTTTGGGGTTTAATGGCGCAAAGCAACTAGGCAATGTGCTCCAAACAACCGTTAAAAAAAGGCAAAAGAAGAAGTAAAATACTGTTACGACAGCGGAAGTCACGTGACCCTGGTAACACGTAATGAGTATCTCGAATGTTCCTGAAAGCTCGAGTGTTTGCCAGACGCCTTCTATTTTGTATACATAAGACCGGCAAGAAGTGACGGCATAAATAATTGCAGACAGGCAGAGACAGAGATGGACATTCGAGTCATGCCGTAAGTAAAGTGTGTAAATCATTGTGAATTATAGCGTGTGTTTAGGTTAAAATGACTGTGGAAATTCTTTTTATTGCAAAGTTGTATTAAGGAAGAATAAACTA